TTTGCATATAGGAAGTTATCTATTAGTTAGTTTTAGGAAACTTTATCTCTTAACATTAGTCGGGGGTACAAGGTATTTATCTTTAGTTTTTAGGAAATATATTTTGTTTCCTATTTTAAAGGGAGTGTCATTAGGTTGAATGGGAAAATAATGAGTGACGTATCAGTTGAAGGTACAAGGTGTTTATCTTTAGTTTTTAAGAAATATATTTCGGGTCGTATTTTAAAGAGAGAGTTATTGGGTTGAAAGGGAAAATAAGGAGTCACGTACTTGGAAAGGATGAAATTGAGAGTTGTAATTATCTTTTAGGAAGTTGGATAGAAGAATATGGAAAGGATGTAGAGTTTGATTTATTTTGGTCAATTAACATATGTGGTTTTAGTAAGAAAATATATTAGGGATTATAGTTTGAGAGTGACGTGAGGAGGTTTTAAATGTATAAAAGGAGGCACGCACAATGAAATAGGGATGGAATTTTTATAAATGACAAAATGTGATCTTTTTAATGTATAAAAGGAGGCACACACCATGTAATAGGGATGGAATTTTTATGAATGATAGAACAAGATTTTGAGATCTTGTAGAGTGAGAGAGAGCCTTTTATTGGTGTTTTTTCTTCTCTTTTGCTTGTGGGCCCTGTCAGAATACTCCTATCCATGGGTTTTGTCCGTTTTTCTTGTGATTTTCTTCACGATTTTTATTTCTCTCTTAAAAGCGGTTATTTTGCCGATGTTGTCTGTCCATAAATTTTATAAAGCGTCACGGTCTTAAATATTTGAGTTATTTATATATGGGCTTTAAATTTTTTCTAAAATACAAAATGCTCTGTTTATAGGTAGAAATTATAAAGGTCAACGAACTTGTCTTTTTTAATTTTTTTTTTAAAAATTGCCTTTAGGTCTGAGGATGGAATCGTCTATCCAAATTTTGTACTTTTTTCTTTGATAGTTTTTTCATTAGTGTGATAGTAATGAAAAAAACTTAAATAAAATTAAAAATCGGTCTGAGGATGTCCTCGAACCGATACATAATTTTGAAAAAATATTAAAAAACAACATATTGACCGACATTCTTTGTAATGTTTCCATATAAATGGAACATTCTGTATTTTTTAAAAAACTTCAGGGTCTGTATGTAAGTCACTCTAAATTTTAAATTTTTATAAGGGAAAATGACCAGTAACCCCCTATTTGTAATTTCCATTCCTACTAGCCCTTGGGGCTAACCAAAATCTCTTGTACTCCCTCAAGTTTAAAAAACACTAGGACCATAAGCCCCCTAATTATGTTTTCCTTTATTCTTGGTTTAAATTTGATATCTTTATTTTACAAAATGCCAAACACATACATTAGTCATCCATATGTTTTTTTTGTTACTTGATATACAAATTTTATAGATGATAATAATAATAATAATTATAAATATTATAATATTAATACTAATAACAATAATAACAACAATAATATATTAATTGTTAAATATTTCATCTCTTATAGATATTTTGATAAAAGTTTTTAATAAATGAATGAATATATAATAATAATCCATTAACAATAATAACAAATATCATGATTAAACATTTTTTAAGTTCAAAAAATTTGATATAATTGTAAAATAGGTCATAATATTAAAAAATTCATTTTCTTTTCATGTCTAAATTTATAGAGTGGGATCTACAAAGGTAAGATTGGTTTTAGACAAAGGAAGAGAAAAGCAAGGGTGCATTTTGTGAAATAAAAAAGTCAAATTTGTAAAAAAATAAATAAAAATAAAATTAGAGGACTAACGGTTTCAAAAGTTTAAATTTGAGGAGTACAATAGGGAAGGAAGCAGTGTTTAAAAAAACGCCGAGTCGAACCGGACTCGCCCTGTTCGACTCGGGAATTGCCATGGACGAATTGAATCGGTGAAAAAAAAGGGAATCGTCCGGTTCTAGAGAGAACCGGACGATGCTGCATAGTGACTCGCCGATTCACTGTACGAAATCGGCGAGTCCCGTACGGAAGAACGGACTTATTTTTTTTTTTTTTTTTTTTTTTTTGGTAAACCATGATAGATTTTTTTGTAATACTTGATCGATTTTTTTGTAATCCATGATCGTAAGTTTTTTTTTTTTTTTTTTGTTAACCCATGATAGAATTTTTTGTAATCCATGATCGAATTTTTTGTAATCCATGATAAAATGTTTGTTTTTTTTTCTT